TTTGTTTTCTTGATGTTAAGCTTGAATCCATATAGGAGGCTGCAGTCCTTGACCTTCTGCAGCAAGCACTTCAGGTCCTCCTCAGTTTTAGCTGACTTCAAATGGAAGACAAGTGGTATTAACCCATGAGAAGGCAATCCAGGAGTGGAAGTTGTACATTACAGTTGTACTTAACAACTTTAAATTGAAGTCATATTGGCCACATCATAAAAGACTCACAGCAGCACCATATATGTTCAGAATCAGAATCACAGAAACCCTGATGGCTTGGGACTTAGGCCATCACATCAGGGGCTGTCAATGGGAGATGGGTATTGAATGCTGTAGGCAAAAGTAGGAAGGGATGGTGGTGGAGTAAGGAAGCATGGGTGGGCAGCAACATTGAATCTATTGGTCATTGCTATAACTGGGCAATTGTCTTTCATCTCCTCTTTTCTGTGGAATGTTTGTCTGTCAGATACTATTATATACATTTAAAGGTTGAGACAGACTAGGAAGAAGGATTGGCCATCCACTTCTGAAAAACAGGCCTTCGAAAACCCTATGTACAATAGAGCACACTTAGACTATCGCTTGGACTAGCAGACATGGCAATTGAGACTGAGATCTTAGAAACGGAAACACAGAGAAGAAGGAACAGCTGTAAGCAGACACTAGTGATTGGAACGTGGAACATGAGAAGCATGAATGTAGGAAAATTAGACATTGTTAAGAAAGAAATGGAACGCATAAATATTGACATACTAGGTATTGGTGAAATGAGATGGCTTGGCATGGGACATTTTGAATCAGATGATTACATGATTTACTATGCCAGGGATGAAAAGGTGAGGAAGAATGGAGTTGGTTTCATAATTTGAAAAGTCATTTCTAGATCCATCCTGAAATACAATGTGGTGAGCAACAGGATAATATCCATATGCATACAAGGAAGTCCAGTGAATACCACTATAATTCAAATATATGCACCAACAGCTAGAGCCAAAGAGGAGGAAATAGAAGATTTCTACCAACTTTTGAAGTCAGAAGTTGATCAAACATGCAATCAAGATGCATTGATAATAATGGGCTACTGGAACGCAAAAGTTGGGAACAGGGAAGAAGGATCAGTAGCTGGAAAACAAGGACTCGGTGAGAGAAATGAGGCTGGAGACAGAATGATAGAGTTCTGCACATTCAGTGATTTATTCATTGCAAATGCCTTATAGAAGAAACATTAACGCAGGCTATACACATGGATCTCACTTGATGGCATGCATAGGAATCAAATAGATTACATTTGTGGAAAGACTCAGTGGAGAAGTTCAATATCAGCAGTGAAAACCAGGCCGGGTGCTGATTGTGGGACAGACCACCAACTACTCATATACAAGTTCAAGTTGAAGTTGAGGAAAATTAAATCAAGTCCATGGGAACCAAACTTTGATCTTAAGTCTATCCCACTCGAATTTCAAAACCATCTCAGGAACAGGTTTGAGGCCTTGAGCACCAATGAGCTTAGGCCAAATGAGCTCTGGGAGGAAATAAAGAAAACAGTCCATGAAGAATGCAAAAGATCATTATAAAGGCTGAAAAAGAGGAAAAAAACCAAGATGGATGTCAGATGAGACTCTGAATATTGCATTAGAGAGCTGAGAAGCCAAAGCTAAAGGAAGAAACCAAGAAATCAAAGAGCTAAACAGAAAATTTCAAAAGTGCAGAGAGCTGGAGTCAGAAAATCAAAAGGGACGAACTTGCTCAGCTCAGCATTTCTTATCTGAAGGAGCTGAAAAACAAATTCAAGCCACGGGTGGCAATACTTAAGGATACTTTGGGTAGAATGTTAAATGATCCAGGAAGTATCAAGAGAAGATGGAAGGAATACAGAGTCACTGTATCAGAAGGAATTGGCTGACACAGAAGAATTTCATGAAATGACATATGAGAAAGAGCCTATGGTGATGAAGGAGGAAGTTCAAATTGCTCTGAAGGAATTGGCAAAAAAACAAGGCTCCAGGAGTTTACGGCATACCAATTGATATATTTCAACAGACAGACACTGGCCTGGATGTGCTTACTAAGTTGTGCCAAGAAATCTGGAGAACAGCAGCTGGCCGACTGACTGGAAAAGATTGATATTTGTTCCCATTCCAAAGAAAGGTGACCCAACATAGTGTGGAAATTATCAAACACTATCATTAATATCACATGCAAGCAAGATTCTGCTGAAAATTATCCAAAAACGTTTGGAACAATATGTCAACAGAGAACTGCCAGATGTACAGGCTGGATTTAGAAGAGGTTGTGGTATTAGGGATATTATAGCTAATGTTAGATGGATCTTGGCAGAAAGCAAAGAATACCAGAAGAATGTCTATCTGTGCTTCATTGACTATGCAAAGGCTTTGACTGTGTGGATCACAACAAGCTGTGGCTGACTCTGAGAAGAATGGGAATCCCAGAACATTTGATTGTGCGAATGTGAAACCTATACTTGGACGAAGAGGCCGTTGTCAGAACAAAGCAAGAAGACATTTCATCGTTCAAAATCAAGAAGGGGGTTCGTCAGGGATGTATTCTGTCTCCATACCTTTTCAATCTGTATGGAGAACAGATCATCTGAGACGCTGGGCTGTACGAAGAGGAATGTGGCATCAGGATTGGTGGAAGAGTCATCAACAACCTGCGTTATGCAGATGACACATATTTTAGATACTAAACTGAAAATATTTTTACCCTGTTCTGCGGGTTACCCTTTCGTTCTGTTGATAGTGTCTTTTGGTACACAAAAGCTTTTAATTCTGACAAAATTCAATTTTTCTAGAATGTCTTTTATTGTTGTTTTGTGTTGTAGAATGGAAATGGACTCATAGCGGAACTTCCAGTAGATTTTCAGAGGCCTATAAATAGTATAAGAGGAGATTGTCCATCTTTCCTCCTGCAGAGCAGCTGGTAGATTTGAAAACCCTGTCTTTGGATTGGCAGTGCTACTCCTTGCTGCTATTTTCTAGAGTCACACCTAAGATCTGTCAAATACAAAGCCACAAAAATTTATATCTATGTTTTCTTCTAATACCTTTTGCTTTTAGCTTTTTACACTTAGCTTGTTGGTGATTTTGAATTATTTTTGTATATGGTTGTGATGCCTGGGGTCCATTCTTCTGTACATGAATATACAATTTCTTCAATACCAATTGTTGGGGAAGAAACTACCCCCCCACCAAAATATTCTTGATGCCCTGTTGAAATTCAGTTGAATATCTCCCAAACCCTTTATGGCCATTGAGTGGGAACTGATCCATAGATGACCCTCCTGCAGGTTTTTGTGAGGCTGTAAACCACAGGACTGTCCATCTCTCGGCCATGGAGTCAATACTGGGTTTAAACTTCCAGAGAGAAGACATCTTTTTGGGTTAGAAGAGCAACTCCCTACCAGCTACACCACCAGAATGTGTGTGTTCTCTCTGTATATGTACACACACAATATACGAACACACACACATAAGGAATTGTGCTGCCAGTGGACAACTTTGCGGTTCTAGTTTTCTCTCTTTGTCTCTGTCTCTCTCTCCTCTCTCTCTTCTGTCTCTGAAAAGCAATCCCCTCCCATGCGATTCACAACCTCTGAAAACCTACTATGAGTCAGTTCCAACTCAATGGCATTCGATAACAATATGGATGTGTGTGTATACACACACAGAGTTGTATTTACTTATTCGTGTGTGTCTATATCCTTATGCTAATAATACCACGTTACTTTGATCACTAAAACACTGTATTAAGTTTTGACAGTTGGAAGTGCGATTCCTTCTATTTAGGCAAATCAAGTGCTCTGGGCCGGCTCTGGGGCGGCTCTGGGGCCTCCGAAGTGCACTTGCGCCCCTCCCCCCAGTGGGCGGGGCTCGCCAGTGGTGGGCGGGGCGTGAAGCGGGAAGCAGCCGCCCGGCCGCACCCCGCCCGCCCGCCCAGAACAACGCCAGCCTCGGGCCCTCGGGAGCCGACGGGAGCCCCGGGCGCTGTGAGAGGCGCGGCTGCCTTCGAGGCTTGTCCCTGGATCCTGGGAGGTTGTGGGCCTCCGGCCGTGCTAACGTAGATCCATTCACCAGGGGTGAGTGTTCAACCTGCAGGAAAACAGCACCTGACCTCCACCCCAGCCAGACCTCACCCTAAACCTAGGGCCAGCCCGGCGGGCAGAAGTGTGCCCCTGGTCCCCCCCACCCCCACCCCCACCCCCGGCTAGTTAGCGGAGGTGAAGCTCGAGGGGGGAACTTGCAGAATGCTGCACACCCTTGGTGACCCAGCTGGGGAAACGGAGGCCCCTAGAGGGAGGGAAGAAGAACAGGCTTGTCTTCAGAGGCCCTGGAGTGAGCGAGGGACGCTCTGACCCCGGGATCTTCCTCTGACTCCAGGCTGGCCGCCCTAGAGCTGTCAGAGGTCTCAAGCTCACGGAGGCCTTGGGCACGGCTTTCCCACTTCATCCCGGGCTCAGAGACTTGCGTTGTTGTGGTTCTCCCTACTCCTTCTTTAAGGAGGACTCCGAGGTTTGGGGGGAGCGACTTACCCAGTGTCAGAGCCAGAGAGAGGTGAAGTCTTTTTCTCTAGGTCCTTGGGAGAGTCCAGGCCCAGCCACCCTTCTCCCACTCCTGGGATTCCAACCTCTTCCTCGCTGTGCTGCTGCTACCGCCTGTCACCGGGCTGGCCAGGATCCTGCGGTACCAGCCTCCAGGACTTAGCCACACATGGCGGTGTCCCTGATAGCCTTTTTCTGAGCGATTCTGGAACAGCGCCCTGGAGTTCCTCTTTGGGGCAGGCACGTGGGCTTGGAGGGGGGATTTGGGAGCCACGGAGCCTGTAAAGGGGCTGGGAGAGCCCAGTGAAGGATGGCAGAAACAAAGCTGTCAGCATAAGGACCCTTCTTTTTTTTTTTTTTTTTAGGACCCTTCTTTTACAGGTGTTCCTGAGACCGTGGAGACGAGATTGTCCAGTCCTGGGAGAAGAGTTTCTGGTTACTCCACCCAGTAATGCGCTACACGAAACTGGGCCTGGGTCTGGTGTCCTGCCTCTTTGTAGGTGTGGGCCTCTGGGCACTGTGGTGAGTATGCCCCATGGAGCCCTTCTCTACCCTGGAACTCTCTTGGCCTCTCAACTCCAAACTGTGGCTCCTTCCCGAGCTCATTCACCCTCTCCTAGCTTACCTAAACCCCACTCAGTCCCAACCCTAGACTGAACTAGTTTCAAACTTGAGGCTGGCCTCTGCATGTGCCCTTTCCCTGCCAGGACCAGCCTTCCACTTGTCTTAAGGAAGACAGGTGGAAAATTCATCCCTGCATCATTCCTTCTGTAAAGCTTCCAGCCCATGGTGTCACCTTCCTGTGTCCCAAGCTGACCCCTGCTGCTGTGTGCTGAGCCTGGCATCCAGCCATGCCACATAGAGCCTGGCTGCACAGTGAACAAATGAGCTGAGAGCCAGGCTTTGTGATCCTGGCATGAGGAGCAACCCCACCTCACCCCACTGCAGTCACACCACCAAGGCATCATTAATCTGCAGTAAGGGGGTTTTCAGCTTTTTGGCAGGAGTTGAGTCAACAGACATTTTTCTTTTACAGGATATTTTCTGAGAACTGGCTGCCAGTTTCCTATGTCTCCTATTACCTTCCCTGCCCTGAGATCTTGTAAGTCCTGAACTAGGGGATATGGGGACCTTAGGGGCTGGCTGGAGCAAAGTGAGAGAAGAATTTTTATAGCTACTTTGTCTGCAGGTTCTTATGTCCTAAAGACATGGTTCCGATGAGTGTTTCAGTTAATTAATGGGCTGCACAAATGCAGAGCGACACTCTTGACGTTTTAGTATTCAGGTGACTTCGCTGTTTGACCTTGAGTGTGCTGCCTAACTTTGAGCCTATTTTCTGCCTCTGTGGAGTGGGATAGCAAGGATGAGCTGTCTTGCTTTCCAGAAGGACAGTAGCACATCACTTACTTACACACCCCACCCAGGCCCAATGAACCTCCTGTGACTGGCTTGCACCTGATCTAAGACTAGAAACTAGCAAATGTTATGAAAACTTATTTTAGAAAACACAGAGTACTATGCAACACTGAACAGAGAATTAGATAAACACTATGTAGCATGGATGCATCTAGAGGACGTTATGCTGAGTCATATAAGTCCATCACAAAAGAAGAAATATAGTTATAGAAAGCTAACGAAAGGTTCCTATACAGAATCATTGTTTGATGGTTGCCGATAATGGAAAGGTAATGTGAAGGGAGTAGAAATTAGTAAATAGATAAGAGCCAAATAGTAAGGTGGGTGGAGGGGAAGGCAATACACAATAAGGGGATGATCAGCACAGACTGTATCAGAAAAGAAAAGAAGAGGAGAGGAGAGGAGAGGAGAGGAGAGGAGAGGAGAGGAAAAGCAAAGCAGTAGTTAGGAGAATGAATGGGAATCAATTACGTGAAAGAAGTGGGGTGTAGTCACACTGTGAGTATTGAAGTTGATGTTACAGAACAAAATATGAATGGTTTGGATGAAAAATTAATTTGTTTTTTAAACCGTCAGACAAATGATGGTAAAAAAATTGTTTTAAAAAGTATTCTATGCCAAGTCCATTGAGGTATCAGGAAGTTAGTACCAATTTTCAGTAGTCCCTCTAACCTAATTCATGTGTGGACTTGATTGGATATTTTCTAAAGATGGAATTTTTGAGACCACATGGACAGTGGAGGACATAAATGTGGTTTACTTCTGTCAGACTCAAACTCATCAAGTTGGAACCAACTCAAAGCTGACCCTCCATTGGGCTTCCCAGGCTGTAAATCACTCAGGAGGGGACTGCCCATCTTTCTCCCATGGAGCTGCCGGTGGATTTGAACTGCCATGAGGCTCGACTTTGGGGTTAGAAGTAGCACTTCCTACGGGCTACACCATCAAAGCTTCCTTGCGTAGGTATTGGTAATGTTCTTCAAAACATATGATGGCAGCCTAACAGGGCATGTTAAAGTGTCACAAAGAAAATTAGGCTTAGGAATTACACTGATAGTAGTGAGTGAGTTATCCTGCTGTTTCTCTGTGCAATGAATATATTTCTTTTGATTTTATTTAAAACTTTGGCTCATTTGCATATAAAAAAAGGATTACATTTACTGGTCTTAGCAGAGACTGTTTGGAAGCCTTGAGATTCTGGCCCTTAGACACCCTTCAAACCTGGAACTGACCTGTTCTCAGTGCTCACCTTTCAGCAAAACAGTTGACAGGCCCACAAAGTGATGGTAGTTCTGGTGGTCTAGTGAGTATGGAGCTGTGCTACCAACCCAAAGGCAAGTGGGTCAAATCCATCAGCTACTCTGAGGGAGAAAGAGAAGCTGTCTCCTCCAATGCTATTTACAGCCTCTGAAAAGCTACTTGACTTGGTTCCAGCTTGAGAGCAGTGAGATCGATAAAGTGGACAGTAACACCCATGAGGAACATACTCTTCCAAACAGTCAAGCATATAAGCCTGTAAGGACAGTGTTTGTCCAAATCCAAGTTCAAAAGGCAGGCAGAGGCAGGAAAACGGACACGTGGAAATGGGGGACCCAGGAAGAAAGTGGCTGGAAGGCAGTTACACTGAAGGGATTGTACAATGAGAATCATAATTACAGAGAGAATAATACGAAGTGTGTGTCCATTGTTGAACGGGAAACTCTGTGAGCATTCCCTTGAATCACAATAAAATGTTTTAAGAGAATCAACACACCACGACCTCCATCCCTGGAAAAGTCAGCCGATGCTGGGGTCTTGTAGAACAACTGGTTGAAAAAGCAGCTGCTGTGGGCCTACCGGGACACTGGGTTCAAATCTCAGCCCTACTATCTTGTCAGTGACAAAGGCAGGCCACCTCTGGTCAGGATCCAGGCCCCACTCTAGAGTGGACAGTGCTGTGGTGAAATCAGAATGGGTCAGCATGGCCCTTGGGGGTACCTGCCCATCTGGGGGTTGATGAATCTCTACTTCATTGTTAGTCACCTGCTTAAGATCTCTGTCACCAGCCCTGACCCTGATAGTTCTTTTCTCTGCCTCCAGCAATATGAAGCTGCAGTACAAGGGAGAGAAGACATTCCAGGCCATGACACAGTAAGGAGAATGTCCTTTCTTCCAGCGATGGCTCCTGGGGTAGGGACTGCCTTTCCCTCACCACTGACCCTTCTTGGTTGCAGGTTACACTACCCTCAACCCAAGCTGCTGGAGCAGAGGTGGGTGTTGGTAAGCCTAGGCAAGGGAGGCTCCACAGAGACCCTGACTTATTATATAAGCTGAGATGGTGGGGGGTGGGGGGTGGAGTTTGAGTGTGGTTTGGGGTTCAGTCACTCTGGAATCGTGGAAGGATGGAGGCTGGGAGCTGGACCATAGTGGGTTCTAATCTTGCCCATGTCACTAGCTGTGTGGCTTTGAGCAGCTTACCAAACTACGCTCAACTTTTTCTGTAAGATGAATAATAATAGTACTTACTACCTCTTAAGATGCTTGACTGTGCCATGGTGAAACACTTAACTATTAACTGAAAGGTCCGTGGCTTGAACCCGAGAAAAACTCTGTGGGATAAAAAACAAAATAAAACTAGTGATCTGCTTCCATCAAGATTATAGCTTAGGAAACCCTGCGGAGCTGTTCTTCTCTGTCCCGTAGGGTCTCTGGAGATAGGATCAGCTTGACAGAGCACAACCACTGCCACCTTGCAGGGGCTGGGAGGCCAGAGGAGGTGATGTTTATAAAATTCACCATGTTGTACTTGCCTCATTGTCTTCTCAGTAGACTATTAATAGTATCATTTGTATTGTCACTGTTTTTCATGACAACTTCTGTTTGTTAAGCATTCAAAAGACATATGTAGAGCATCAGTTTCCTCCAGATACTTGTGTGTATTAATTCCTGGTCCTCCCAGCCACGTTAAAAATCAAAACCCAGGCCTGTTGCTGTCAATGCAATTCTGACTCAAGAGACTCTGTAAGACAATCAAACTGCCCCTGGGGTCCGCAAGGCTGTACATGGTTAGAGGAGCAGGTGGAGCCAGCTTTCCCCTGTTGAGGGGCTGGGGAACTGTAACCATTGGTCTTTCAGTTAGCAGGCAAGCACTTGGCCACTGTGCCACCAGGTTTCTCATCCCTACTGCCCACATAAGGAAATTGAGCTTAGTTTAAAGCTGAGGAAATAATTGCCCTGAGTCACATACTGCACTGGGAGACAGGGCCAGGCTGAGCTTTGGGCTCTGCAAAGGGGAGGTCTCAGTCCCCCCCACCCCGGCCTTCCTGACTGCCAGGCCCACCAAACTGCTGACACTCACACCCTGGCTGGCACCCATCATCTCGGAGGGGACCTTCGACCCAACGCTCCTGCATAGCATCTACCAGCCGCTGAACCTGACCATCGGTCTCACCGTTTTTGCCGTGGGGAGGTGAGTCCTGGCCTGGGTGGGGTTTTTTCCCTGAGCCATGGGAGCTGAAGGTCTGCAAGAGTCCTGAGCCAGGTGCTGAGTAAATAGAAAGGTCAACGCTATGTTGAGGCTTATGACGTGGAGTCGGGGACTTCCTGGAGGAGGGGGCCAGGCTCTGGTCAGATAGAGGTGGGAGACAGCCTCAGGGAGGAAACCACAGAAACAGCTTTCTCTAAGCAGCTGTTTCCAGGAACAGAAATGCCCCAGACTCCTTCACAAAGAGCGTTTCATAGACTAAGGCAGGCCTCAGGGGCCTCTTTTCTGTGCCCCTCTGGATTTTTCTGTAATTTTCACCTCTCTGGATCCCTCCTCTGCCCTCCTCACCCCTGCCTGGTCCCACATGGTCTGTAGAGGCCTCCATTGGCCATGCCCCTCTGGATCTCTTCCTGGGGTTCCTGAGAGATGGAGTGTTATGGCACCACAACACCTAAGGCACTTGCCAGATGACACATGGTCCACTTAGAGTCCTGTGGGCCTTTATTCAACCACCTGTAGCCTGGGGGGGGGCACTGTAGGGTCCACTGCCCACCCTACCCACCCACCATCCCAACTTGCCTTATGTTTTCTCTGAAGCTCAGTGTTCCTGTCTGAAAACAAATCAATTGTTATATCTAGCTGATCACAAGAGGCAAGAGTCCTGTAAGACACTGCCTGTCACAGGAAGTACTGAATAAAACTTAGCTCGGTTCATGAATATAAAAATTGTTAAGTATCATTCTTGGAGTCTTGAGAGGTCAGTCCTGCTGTTTGACTCTGACAGGATCTTTGGGCTGAGCTCTTGTTAGCTCTTCACGTGGGGGGTGGACATGTCCTGGCCGACGGCAGCACTTGTACCCACGTGCCAGCACGCAGCAGGTGCCCCGCTGTGGACCTGTGTGACAGCGGTGAATGTGGACTGGCGTTCTCTCACCAGGTATGTCCACTTCATCCAGCACTTCCTGGAGTCGGCTGAGGCGTTCTTCATGCAGGGTTACCTTGTGCACTACTACGTCTTCACTGACAACCCGGCTGCCATCCCTCGTGTCCCCCTGGGCCCTGGCCGGCTCCTCAGCGTCATCCCCATCCTGGGTTACCCCCGCTGGGAGGAGATCTCCATGCGCCGGATGGAGACTATAAGCCAGCTCATTGCCAAGAGGGCACACCATGAGGTGAACTACCTCTTCTGCCTTGATGTGGACATGGTGTTCCGGAACTCATGGGGCCCGGAGACCTTGGGGGACATGGTGGCTGCCATTCACCCAGGCTACTATGCTGTACCTCGCCAGCAGTTCCCCTATGAGCGCAGGCGTGTGTCCACTGCCTTTGTGGATGACAATGAGGGAGACTTTTATTATGGTGGGGCAGTTTTTGGAGGCCGAGTGGCCAAAGTGTATGAATTCACCAGCGGCTGCCACATGGCCATCCTGACAGACAAAGCCAATGGCATCATGGCGGCCTGGCAGGAAGAGAGCCACCTGAACCGCCGCTTCATCACTCACAAGCCCTCCAAGGTGCTGTCACCTGAGTACCTCTGGGATGACAGGAAGCCCCAGCCACCCACCCTGAAGCTGATCCGCTTTTCAACACTGGACAAGGAAACCAGCTGGCTGAGGGGCTGATGCAGAGCAGGGTTTCCACATACGGTGACTCAAAGCCCTGCAGCCAAGTCTCCCCAGCGGAGTGCCTGGGTTCCCTCTGTGGTGCCCCTTTTCACCAGTGCCTCACTTCAAGCCTTCAGGGACACCAGCCCTGCCTTGTTTACCTGTCAGGAGACTCCTACCAGAAAATGGACTTGGAAAGGCCTTGTACACTGTAAAGAGCCATGCATGCACACTGAGGTTACACTCATAGGATACAAGAAGGAGTGGTGGATCGGAGGATAGGAGATGAGAAATGTGAAAAAGCAGTGCCCCCCCCCCCCAATAATCGTGCCTTCGGGGAGGCTGTCCCACTCAGATGCCTGAGCTCGCATCATCCCCTCTCTACTTGCATACTGCCCTTAAATTTGCACTTCTGATGCCCTAATGTGAAAAACTTCCCAGACCTCTCTTCTCTGGTTGTAGGCGTGCAGAGAACTCTGATGCCCCAAGCATGTGTAGCCAGGATCTCACTTGGGATCCATGTGATGAGCCTTTGAAATGGGCTGAGTCTAGGCTCTTTTAGTTCAAGTCCAGCCTGGACTGTCCTGTGTAGCTGGAGAGAGAGCTTATAAGAGAGCTTGGGGTCATTTTAATAAAGGTGGCATATGATGGGCACTCAGTGGTATTCTGTCTACCTGCATGTCTCAGTGGGTGCTCTGCCAGGTGCATGTAGACCCAGGATGGTTGTACTGCAAATGTACTTGCAGTGGGAGTAAGTGGCATGCATTTATTTCAGAAAACTTAGGCTAAAGCCACCTGCTGCAGCAGATGGTACATCCTTGTGGGATCCTGGGAGACATGGAAGTCACCTAATGACTGACAGCACTCCCAACTGAGAACCTGTGGGCTTTTATCTATTGTGTATCCACAGCCTATAAGGGCCCTGGCTGGCATGTGTGCCCAGGATTTGAAGGTATTAAGGGCAGCCTCACCAGCCTGCACGAGAGAGGCGTCAAAGACATACACAGCTTCCATCTGCCCTCAGAGAGCAGAGACAGAGGTGGGGCTGGGGTAGGCTTCCTTGGGGGCAGCTATACCTTTTCCCCTGAGGGGGAGGTGCAAAGTAGGGGACAGATGTCTGCCTACCTGGCCACCAATGGCAAAGCTGAAGCCTGGCCTCAAACTATTCTTTCCTTGTGGTTTGTGGGTTGACTAGTGAGTGGGGACAGGTGCCAGTGGTGTGGGCAGGTGGAATGAGCAGTGTGGAAACAGCTTGGGCTGTGAGAAATGGAGTTGGGAAGAGGCCTCAGATGGTGCTTGAGCCACAGGAAAGGGTAACATGTCCCAGAGGAAATGCTTTCCTGGGGCTGGCTGGCCTTCTGCAGGAGAGGGGACCCTGTGAGCTCTGTGATGGAAGAGCAGGCCTTGCCTTCAAGAAAGTCCTTTTGAGGATCAAGAAGAAACCCTGGGATGTGGAGACCACCAGAGGCAGCCTTTGTAAAGGTGGCCTTGAGGTCTGGGCAGCATTGGTTTAGTAGAAAAGGAAGAACCCCCTTTACTTCCGCCCAGGTCAGGTCCCTGCCTCTCCAGACCTCGTTCATAGGCTGTTTTCAGGTCCATAGCCCAGCAAACTCAAGGGCCCAGTGTCTAGGATCCAAGCTCCTAGGAACTGCAGCTGACCCTGACCTGTTCCCAAGGTGTGGTCTGAGAAACCTGCTGAGTGACCTGAGTGACAGACCCAATTCCTGGAGCAAGCCCAGTCCAGATCACTTTCCAAAAAGGAGTTGAGGCCAGACCCGCTCCTTGGCTGGGAAGGAGCAGAGGGCCTGGGGGGTGGAGGAACCCCGCCAAGCAGGCAGACAGTGGGAAGAGCTGCCAAGGCAGAGCCACAGGATGAGGTTCCAGCTTTTCCAGACACACACCAGGCTCTCCAGGACAGATCAAGGTTTTGTGGACTTGGAAGTTTTTAAAATTTGGGAGACACCTCTTTTTTTTCTCTTTTTAAAACACACTTTGAGTGAAGGTTTGCAAATCATAATGGTTTTTCATGCACTCATTCATAGATAATTTGTTTTATAACATTGCCATTGATGAACATAATGTATTAATTTCAAAGTCTAGCCAACCCCTTATTGTATATTACCTTTCCCCAACTTACCCATTTATTAATTTTCACTCCCTTCCCATCCCTCTCATCCCTTCAGGAATGATTCTAAACCTTTCCTGAGCTTTTTGTAATAGTGGTCTTATACCATAATTGGGTTTTTTTTGTGACTGACAATATCACTCAGCATATTTTGTTCTAGAGCCATCCATGTTGTGCAATATTTCACAAGTTATTGGTACTTTTTAGTGATACATAATAATGCAGTGTGTGCATAGACTATTGTTTTCATAGCCACTTGTCAGCTTACGTACACTTGAATTGTTCCCATCTCTTTGCTATTGTAAATAATGCTGCTATGAACATGAGTGGTAACTTATCCCTGTATGTGGCAGCTCTTGTTGTTTGTATATTTAGTCGTAGAAATCTTAAATCAAAGGGTATTTAGATTCCCAACTTTCTGAAGAAGCCCCAAGCTTTCATTAGCAGTTGTACCATTTTACATTCCCACCAGTACTGTATGAGAGTTTCGGTCTCTCCACACCCTCACCTGCATTTGTTGTGTGATGTCTAATTTGAACATCACTGTTGTTGCCAGCATGAGATAATACCCCATTGTTTTGATTTGCATACACAGAGTCACTGTATCAAAACTAATTTGTTAACACTGAAAAATTTTAGGAAGTACCATCTGAACAAGAGCTGATGACAACGAAGGAAGAAGTCTAAGCTGCAGTAAAGGCTAAAAACATTGGCAAAGAACAAGGCCCAGGAATTGATGGAATACTAATTGACTTATTTCACCTAACACATGCAGCCCTGAATGTGCTCATCAATCTATGGCAGAAAAGTTGGAGACAGCTACTTGACTGACTGACTGGAAGAGATCTATATTTGTTTCCATTCTCAAGAAAGGTGATCTGACAGAATGTGGAAATTATCGAACAACATAATTTATATCACATATAAGCAAAATATTGCTGAAGATAATAAAAAAATGGCTAGCACATAGAGAACTGTCAGAAGTCCAAGTGGAGTTTAAAAGAGGCTGTGGTACCAAGAGTATCATTGCTGATGTCAATGGACTCCAGCTAAAAGTAGAGAATACCAGAAGAATGTCTATTTGTATTTTATTGACTATGCAAAGGCATCTGACTGTGTCAAATAACAAGTTAAGGCTAACATTGAGAAAAATGGGAATCCCAGAATCTCATATGCTCATATGAGATCTATACCTATGTCAGGAAGCTGTTGTCTGAACAGAGTAAGGGAATACTGCATTGTTTAAAATAAGGGAAGATGTGCATCAGAGTCGTATCTTTTCTCCATATCTATCCAATCTATACACTGAGTAAATAATTTGAGAAGCTGGACTCTGTTAAGAAAAATGTGGCATCAGGATTGGAGGAAGACTCATCAATAACCTGCATTATGCAGATGACACAACCTTGCTTGCTGAAAGTGAGGAGGAGTCAAAACACTTGCTGCAGCCCCGAATAAGCAAAGCACTCCTTAAAAATAGAGGAAAGGTAGGAGGTATCTCACTCCCTGATTTCAAATCCTAGTACACTGTCGTGGTGGTTAAGACAGCATGGTACTGTACAATGACAGACACATGGACCAATGGAATAGAATTGAGAACCTGGAGATCAGCCCACCTATCTATGGTCAATGGATTTTTGACAAGGAGATGAAATCAGTTAAGTGGGTAAATGACAGCCTTTTTAACAAATGGTGTTGGCAAAATTGGAAATCTATCTGCAAAAGACTTAAGAAAGATACACACCTTACTCCATATACAAAAACCAACTCAAGGTGGGTCATGGACCTAGGACTAAAATGAAGGACTATAATATTCATTAAAGTAAAGCTTGGAAGAACACTAGAAGTCCTAATCCACAACATAAACAGTCTTCCAAGTATCCTAAAAAGCCTACAACCAGGAGAAGACAAAATAGATGAATGGGACCTTCTAAGAATCAAACCCTATGCACATCCACAAACTTCCCCACCAGGGTAAAAAGGGAAACCACATAGTGGGAAAAAGTATTTGAGAATGACATATCAGATAAGGAACTTATATCCAGAGTTTATGAAATACTTGAGCAACCACAACAAGATAAGGTAAATAATCCAATTGAAAAATGGGCACAGGATATAAACACTTCGCTGAAGAAGACATTCAGATGGCTAACAAGCACATGAAGAAATGTTCAAAATCCCTAGCTCTAAGAGAGGTGCAAATCAAAACAACTATGAGATACCATCTCACCCCAGTCAGAATAGCAAAATTTAACAGAACAGCAAGCAACAAATGCTGGCGAGATTGTGGAGAAACTGGAACCCTTATTCACTGTTGGTGGGAGTGTAAAATGGTGCAACCACTGTGGAAAGTGGTGTGGCGCTTTCTCAAAAAGTTGCAAATAGAGATACCATTTGACCCAGCAAGTCCACTACTGGGAATATACCCCAAAGAAACCATAACTGACACCCAAGCAGATATATGCATGCCCATGTTTATTGCAGCTTTGTTCACAATAGCAAGGAGTTGGAAACAACCTAAGTGCCCATCAATAAATGAATGGATAGAGAAGGTGTGGTATATTCACACAATGGAATGCTATACTGCATTAAAAAACAACGAATTCATGCAATATTATTCAAAATGGGTGATCCTAGAGGACATTATGCTGACTGAAGTATCTCAGTCACAAAAGGACAAATACTGCATGGTGCCACTGTTGTAAAACAGGACTGACCTCAGGGTTGGGGGAAGACTGAGAAAGATGGGCTCAATAATATATACTACATTGAAACAGATGAGGTAGAAAACTGTTTAAAGGGAACGTGTTATTAGGTATTTTTGTCATGACAGGAGTACAGAGCGAAGGCTGCATAGTGGAGTGGACCTGGGAGGAGGGATTGTAGAACAGTG